AGCCTCAAGGTATTACGGGTGGGAAGTATTCTAGCTAGGCTGGTTCTTGTGGAATCAGTTCGATGATGATTCGATGTGGGCAGTCTGTCAGGGAGACAGACCATCTCGAGACTACGAATCTCAGACGTAGTAGAAGCGACCATGCTGCAAGGAATTTGTTCATCTTTGGGTTTTAGAACCATGTGGGGTCGGTTTGGGTTGCCCTGGGAAGGCTCGGGTGTGCCAAGGATTGTGACCATGTCGCCCAAGTTGTCGGGCATGTAAGGGATGGTAAGGAATGATTTCGAGGACGAATCTAATTTAAGTGGGGGAGAGTTGTAACATTCTGTTTATTTAATAAATAAATAAATAAAAATTGATGAACGAATAGTCTCCCTAAATCTATATTATTTAATGGATTGTTGGTTTTGGGGAGCCGAATGTTATAAATTGGATTATTCGGGGGTTAAAGTGTAAGTTCAGGACTTGTTTCGCAAAGGATTTTAGAAGTCAGGGGGTGTTTGGTATTATTGGGACTTATTATGTAAGGATTTATGGAGACAGGGGCTGATTGGTAACATTTTGGACTTGATTTGTAAAGGGTTTCAGGAGGCAGGGTTAAAAGGGTAAAATATGGACTTATTTTGAAAGAAATGAGGGAAAGGAGGGGCTAAACTTGTCATTATGGGGCAGAGTTTCATGAGTCGGGTATATAACCCCAACATCACCGGGTACCAAACCCTAACCCTAAAAATGATGTCGGCCATCACCCCACTCCCTTTCATCCTCCAGCCGCCAACCTTATGACTCCCACCGACGCCACCATCCTTCCTCCACCACCGCCATGAGAGGCTTCGTCCATCACCCGCCACTTCGCAAACCGGAGCACCACCACTGTCGCATCTTCCTCAGCAGTCGGTGTGTGCTCTGTGTGGGAGTTGTGTCTGGTAGGAAGTCGGGATTAGGCGACCGGAGTTGTCGCCGCTGTTGCTGCCGAGCCGTTGTGCACCACAGGTGTGATCGGGTTAATTGCACGAGCAAAGGATGTGTCCGTGTGTGTGTGTGTGCTTCTCCTACTGTTGCGTATATCGTGTATTGTGGGTGTGTTTGATGGCCGACAACCGCAAAGAACCCCCATGGTCGTCGTTCCTGTCACGTCGTTGCCGCCACCAACCACCGTGAAAGGTGGCTGGGGGCGTGTTGTGGTGTTTGTGCCCATATGTTGTGATGGTTTGAGGCTACAGGAGCGTTGTGTGGACAGAGATCCGAAGAAAGACCTCACGGTGGTGGCTGCCGCTCTCTACCGCCGACTGCCACCACAAGGTGGTTGTGTGTGTGTTAGATTTGTGTATGTGTGTGTGTTAACTGAGAGTAGCATTGTAATTGTAAATAGGAAAAGATTAATGAAAAGAAAACTCAATCCACCACCGTGAGCCGCCGTTGACCACCACTACCCGAGGTGGTAGTGGGTGGTGCCCGACTAGCGAAACCCTAATGGGCCTAGTGAAACCCTAATGGGCCTAATGAACCTTAATTGATCAAAAGACCGAGCTATTGGGCCTATTGGGATATGATTGGGTTGGAAACCCTAATTAGGGTTTGGAAAACCCTAATTTTGGGATTATTGGTTTAGACTTATCGGGACCCACATTTTTGACCATTGGAGTGAAGTGATGACTCAAGCCCGATTCCATTGTATGTTTGGACTTAATGGATTAAGTCCTTAATGGGTTAAGTAGGAACACTTAACCCTAATCGTCATTTTATGTGAAAACCCCTAATTGGGTATAGATGGTTGTTGGGCCACTTATTGGACTAAGTTGTTGTGGGCCTTTGTGGGCCAATTCGGAACACATTTATGGACTAAGGGAAATTATTGGGCTTCAGGATAATACCCATTAGAGAGGCTTGGGCCCAATTTGAAAAAACTGGGCCATATGTTGGGCCTTGGTTAACTATTGGGCTTTTGGGCCTTCAGGGTGTGAGCTTGGGCCTTGGTTTGAACCAAGCTAGGGTAGGGTTAAAATGGTCCAATTACCTCAAGTGTAGATTATGGTTGTGTATTGGAACCCAACTATTAATTCGGTGTCGTTTTGATGATTGACAGTTCGGGAACCTGTCAACCAACAGCTAGAGTTTATCCGCGGGACTTCAGCAGTGCGAGGTGAGTATTCTCATCATACCAATGGGTCTAAGGCACCAAGGCCGGCCTATTTTATGATATGTGGTACACTAGTTGTAGTAGAGATATGTGGGATGATAGTTAACTTTACGCTACGTAGTATGCTAGTGATTATGTTATGTTTTCATGAAAGACCATGGGGGGAGCCCATGGCACTTGGATGTAAGACCATGTGGGGGAGCCCATGGATGTCCGGCAGGGAAAGACCATGGGGAGAGCCCATGGCACTTAGGGGTAAGACCATGTGGGGGAGCCCATGGCATCCTTATGCAGGGATATGTGGTAGAGATAGCTTTATAGCTAATGAGATGCGGTAGAGATAGCTTTTATAGCTAATGTTCTGTGGTAGAGATAGCTTTTATAGCTTATATGATATGTGGCATATGATAGAGATAGCTTGTATAGCTAATATGGTATGCGATATGTGATAGAGATAGCTTGTACAGCTAATATGATATGTGGTACGTGGTAGAGATAACTTTAACAGCTAATGTGATTTATGATATGTGGTAAAGATAGCTTTTATAGCTAATATGATATGTGTTATGTGGATTGTGTGTGGGGTATGCTCTGGGGGACTCACTAAGCTTCATGCTTACGGCTTACAGTTTTGGTTTCAGGTATCATCGATTTGGAAATGAATGGCTCGGATTGTTCGCAGTGCACACACACCTATGATTTACGCAATGAATGATTTTGGAACGAACTCTGATAAATGTTTTACTTAAGGATGATTTGAAATGTTTGAAATAAATGGTATCAATGTTTTAGCTATATTAAAAATGAAATTTTTAGCCTTGATTTTTGGGTCGTTACAGAATCACGTATGAATTACATGCAATTCACATGTAAATTACAAATGAATTACATGTGATTCACATGTAAATCATAAATAAATCACATACGAATTACATGTGATTCACATGTAAATTACAAATGAATTACATGTGAATGACATGTGATTCACATGTAAATCACAAGTGAATCACATATGAATTACATGTGATTTACATGTAAATTACAAATGAATTACATGTGATTTACATGTAAACACAAGTGAATCACATATAAATTATATGTGATTCACATGTAAATTACAAATGAATTACATCTGATTCATATGTAAATCACAAGTGAATCACATATGAATTACATGTGATTCACATATAAATCACAAGTGAATCACATATGAATAAAGTCTATTTGGAAACTTGCATTTTGTGTGAGTGTTCTTCGTTAATTATTTTTCTTTTTTTAATTTTATTGTGAATTGCACATTTGAATCATAAAAGATACAATCACATGTGAATATCACATTATACAATCATATGTGAATCTTGCATGATATACACATATGCATTTTTACGAGTGTTCTTGCATTAATCAATTTTTTTTAAATTTCTTGTAGATTTGGAAAATTTTGTGGAAAATATTGAAGATGTGAAAAATGATCAATTGAAGAAAATATGGAAATCTTGACACGAAGACATGAAAACTCTTTGAAATTTTGTTGAATTTTTTGTTTTTTATAATTTATTTCGTATCAAACAAAATACTTGTATTATTGTATTTATAGATTAGTAAATAAAAATGAGTTTTTTTTACATATGAATATTATAGTATAAAAAATATGAATAGATGCACTTGAAAAAATATGCATATATGCACCTAAAACGTCAACTTTTTTGGTTAAAAAATTATGTTTTTTTTTAATATTCTAGTTTTTGTTAAAAGTTTATAGATTTTTAAAAATTTACTATTTTTTAAAAAAAATGCAGATTTTTTAAAAAAATTATTTTTTTTCATTTTTTTTAAATTCATGTTCTATAAAAAATTATAAAAACCTTGCATTTAAAAAAAATCGAAAATTAATATATATTTTATTAAAATCTGAAATTTTGATTTATTATGTTAATTTTGAGACATTTTTATTAATATTTCAATAACACAAAAAAAAACATTAAATGAGATTGTTAAGAAGACGATCATGTCCTTAATGAGTTAATTTTGATCTAACGTTTCACCTTTAGTTTTCGGGTTCTCGAGAAACTATGAGTTCTCAACGAATCTCACCTATATATATATATATATATATATATATATATATATATATATATATATATATATATATATATATATATATATATATATATATATATATATAGATCAAATAAGAAGTGAATTATTTGTAGGAAGGTAGGAAGACATATATATGGAAGTTATCCTACAGTTAAATAATGAAATATGACTTCAGCTTTTCCATCTTTGTTCAACTCTTTTACTTTCTCTCTATATAACTTCAGCTTTTCCATATTAGAAACCAGCCGATCAACACAATAATCAACTGAAAAGTATATGTCCCGGATCATTGCTTTAAAATCTTCATTTTCATCATTTGTAGGAAACTGACACGTATTATATCCGCTTGCTGATCTCGGCACCACATCCTTTGTGCATCTTCTTGAAACATATTTTTTAGGGAAATGTTCCACACCCGACATCCTTAATACATAAAAGCAGTGTCTACATAGACACCCAGTTAATTCGAATTGTAAACACGAGCAACTAACAGTGCAATCAGATTTCATGAATGAAACCTGTCAATATTACAAAATAATAATATCAGTTTTTTTAAACCAATACTAGATACAACGGACTAGATTATACATAACTCAAAATCACCAAAATGTTTTACATCTTTGTCGGTATCCTTGATGCTGAATTTAGTAATTCCATCATATTCTTCTACTTTAATTGAGTAGCATGTAAGCATCGATGCCATTATCTCTGTTTGAACTTTAAAGAACACAGTCCGTGTGAATGTTTGAGCTGCCTCCTCTTAAATCAGCAGTTTAGTTATAATTTCAGGATTCGTGTAACGCGAGTCATGATTGTTTTTACGTTGAACAAAACGTTGTGCTTCCATTGCCGTTTCAAAATGACTGACAAACTCAATTAAGTGCAAATCTGCATTTGTCATCAACCCGTAGAAGTAATTCTCACCTTCTGATCTTGATGTCGTTCGCATTAACCCTAATAAGTGGCAATCCTGAAAATAAGCAGGAATCCATTTATCTGGTATTGCAAACATTTCGTTAAACCAATTGTTACTATTTAAATCGTATTCATCCATTATTGATTGCCATTCTATATCAAAGTCGCTTGCACTGATTCGTTCATTCCATATCAGACTGTTTAAACTTTTCAACACCCCCGTCTTCGACATATGTGAACCCAACTGAGAAATCAACAAGTAATCATCATTAGATAAAAATATGTCATTTCAGGTTTACTAACTTAGTAGTTCAAGTTTACCGATTCAACAGAAGTTACTACTGACTGTTACCTCATTTTCAAATGAACTACATTAATACTCACACATACATACGATTCTAATTGGTGATGAATATCTTAGTGATTCAACATGACAAGATCAGTTTTCCAACATATATGAATTTGGTTTTAACTAATTATTCAACTTTCAAAAAAAATTTCCCCTTATTTTACAATTCCACTCTGATAAAATATAATAGATACCAATAATAATGATCCACACAAATAATGCATACAATGTATTATGTGGGTATATTCTTTACCTTGTCGGTGAACTTCTGTGATATGTGCCACATACACAATCGATGCCTACATGATGGTGAGAAAATAGTTGGAATCGCTTGCTTAATAGTCGGGTCTTGATATGTCATCAACACTGTTGGTTCCCGTCCGAAAGTACTTTTAAAAGCCATTAACAACCATTTATATGATTCTATTGACTCACTAGCAAGTAAGCCAGCTGCAAAAGTGGCACATTTTTTGTGATTGTCGATACCGGTAAATGGCACGAAAATCATGAAGTACCTGTACAACAAATAATACGATATGAATTAAACTTGTTATTACTCACTATAAGTTCATATGACACGACCAAACCGAAACATGATAAGTTTTTAATAAGTTAAGCTACTGCATACTTGTTTGTTCGGTAAGTAGCATCGAATACGACAACATCTCCAAATACAGAATAATTACGTTTTGCTTCTTCATCTGCCCAAAATAACCCACATAGCTTCCCCTCACTATCCACACAATATTCAAAAGTAAAGTCGTGTAAATACTCCTTTTTTAGTAAGCTTCTCAATTACCATGTCCGCATCACTCTCACCAATATATGTTATCATATCCCTTTTCAAATTCTTGCATTCAACTTCCGTTGCCCCTACATTGACAAATCCACCTTGTGTTTGCTTCAATATTTTGAATGCTCTAACTGGACCAATATTTATATCTGAAACATCATGTACAAGTTGTTTATGATGATATGTAAGCCTCCTGTTACTTTTCAAAAAAAACAAAATCTTCTGGATTAACTAGTTCATGTGTGTGTTTCTCCTCAAAATATTTGACCACCCAAAGATTTTCATCATTAACCTTCAATCGGATACAAGCTTTACATCGTGTTCGGTGACTTGGCCGATTACGACGATGTTTGCTCCGGTCTTTCAAACTATCAAATGAACGTTTTTTTTCTCTCCCTCCCTATTACATACTATGTACCTACGTGAATAACCATCTCCCTTTTTCGACTGCTGTGTAGTTGCCTTTCGTATTTCAAACCCACTATTGCGTGCATATTCTCTGTAAAACGCCATAGCTTCATCATACGAAGGAAACACTTGCCCTACATATGGTTTCAACTCCACTTCTGGTGTCCAACCTTTTTCCACAAGTTGTAGACATTGAAACCCATCAGACTGAATACTTGTTGGCTGCGATTCAGACATATCTGTAACACATAAAAAGATTTATGTCAGATTCATTTAAAACACAATTAATAAAGATTACCAACTTCAAGCTATCTCCTGATGGGTTTATTGGAAATGTAGTCTAGAAAACAACATAAAATGATGCAGACAACATCTTTAATCTAAAAAATGATTCATTTATAAACTGATTCACATAATTTAAATCTTACGTTATTTGATTTTTATACATATTATATGCGCTGTAAAATCATTGTTTTTATACTTACTGATTCAAGTGATTCAAGTGGTTCAATTCAAGTGCTTCAGTAAAATAATGAAATATGATAAATACGTTACAACTTGCAACAAATAATAACTTTCATTTAAATGATGAATTAAGATAAGATAAATACGTTAAAACTTATCTCTTTGCTATCCCTAATATGATCACATGTCTTTATGTCTTCCATGCCCTAATTTCCGCCCAAAAACGAAGTCGGCATCGGTGATTGATAAAGAAAAATCAATAGTTTAAATGAAAACAATCAAATTGAAGATCATGCTCTACGATATTGAATTTCTACTCGCAGGGTTTATACCAAACTTCAATATTCCTCTACGAATCCGGTTATACACAACCATAATTTTCGCCTAAAAAAATCATTCATATTTGCAAATTGAAAAAGAAGAATCGATGGTTTATTATTGGAGATTGGATACCATTAAATTGGAGATATTTTACTACGGATTTTTCCGTTATGATGGTTTTACAAAGATTGAATGTCTGGTAAAGCTATATAAAGATTGGATGGTCGAAGGCTTCATACCGAAATTCAGCAACCAGATACAATTTCGTGTGGGTTTTGAGCTAGTGTTAGAATTTTTTTGACTAATGGAGTATCCTGGTGAAGCACAACCTCATACAGACTCGATGGGTAAGTACTATTTGATAATCTTATTAGTATTCACTTGTTGTGAACAGGACATCAGTGCTTGACATTATTTATGCAAGTTATATACATTTGTTCTTAATGATAGTAGTGGTTAAGTGTTTAAGTGAATCAGGTGTTTTTTATTACTGTATATGATGTGAATTTAGAGTCCTGGTAATAAAACCTAGGTAGCAAAGTGATTATGTTAGTAGAAATGATTCTGGTTACCAATGCTTATCTGTCAAATGAATCTTGTTAAACATGTTTTTGGTATTAGGGTTGTATAAGTTATATTGATAGATCTTTAACTGATTCAAAATACTGTAACATATATTCATTTTTTTGTCATTAATTTTGCATTAATAATCGTTTAAGTGATTTATTTTTATATATTTGGTTCTAAAGTGATTACATCAGATACTTATTCTCGAAAGTGTCCAAGTGATGATGATGACGATTTTGTAAACCCGCCACCCGTTACAATGCCGATACAAAAGATTGTGAAAAAGCAAACCAGTATAGAAAAGCCAAGAAACATGGAAGATTCATTAAGATGTTTGAATACCAGGTTCCCTCCGGAACACATAACCAAAACCATGGCCTTGCTGAACGAAGATCAACAATCTATTGGATTTGGATCAGCTCTAAATATGCAGTTAGAAAAGCTACCTTGTAGGATATGTTACTGGGTCGTTGACAACTACAACCCAACTAGTAATTCCATTCATGTACAAGACCAAAGACTTTTAGTGACAAGGGAAAGAGTACACAAGATATATGGCATTCCAATGGGTGACATATCAAAGCAAATTCTGAAAATAAGGTTGTCAAACTTTGGAAATCCCAATTTCCAAAAACAATAAAAAGAATACGGCTAACACATGTTATTGACATGATAGTAAAGGATACAAATGCTAGTCCATTTTTTATCATGAATTTTCTTGTGTTGTTTGTATCGGTGATAATTGAGTACTTAACGATGGGGACTGTCAATCAAGGGTTCTTGGAAAATATTCTGTGTGATATGGATATCAAACAACTAGATTGGTGCGGATTTGTTGTATCATGCTTGAAATCAAGCAGAATGATGTGGAAACCCTTGGACGATAAGTGCGTTTACACCGGTCCCATTGTATTTCTTCTGGTAAACAAATTTCCTGAAAATCAAAACATTATTGAAGATGCTTATATATTCTTCATCAACATATTCTTTGCAGTTGTTTTACCTTAATTTTACAAAAGTTGAAGATGACACAATGCAAAGTCCAACTGCTGGAATGATTCACTGGACAACAGACATGTTGAAAAGGAGGGAATTAAAAGAGCTATCTAAAGGAGGTTTCGGAAATGTAACCATATCATTACAACACATGAACATGAACCACACTAAACAAGGTATATTCGAGCATTTTCAAACTATTTTTGTGGTATCAAACAAATAAAATGTACAAAATATTAATTCACAGACGATAATTACAAAACAGAATATGGCGAGGATGATGATGTTGTTGGATCTGAAAGATATTGCATATCTCCTGATGGGTTTATTGGAAATGTAGTTCAAGAAACATCAGAAAATGATGCAGACAACAACTTCTTGAAGGTAAAAAGCATTCTTTTTATAATTATTGATTCACGTGCTTCATTTATAAACTGATTCAAGTTACGATGCCATTTTGTTTGTCAATATAGCATTAAACATGGTAAACATTGTGATTATAGTGCTTCATTTATAAACTGACTCACATAATTTTTATTTTATGTTCTTTAATTTTTAAGCTGATTCACCTAATTAGTGATTCAAGTGCTTCACTTTTTGTGACACTTGTGAAAATTATGCTTTTTAGTGATTCATTATAAAACCAAAATGCATCAAGTGCTTCATCACATTTTGTTTTACTGATGCAAGTGCTTTTTATTGAAAATTATGCCATTTGCTTTACTAATTCAAGTGCTTCACTTTGTGGGATACTTGTGAAAATTATGCTTTGCAGTGATTCATTATAAAACCAAAATGAATCAAGTGCTTCATCACATATGTTTTACTGATTCCAGTTCATATATTGTCACAATACTAATTTTATAACATTCTACTTATGTTATGCTTATTCCTAGGAAATTATGAGGGAAATAAACTTCAACTTCAATGCATATCACAATGCAAAGAGAGCTATAGATAAGTTGTTGATGCGAGGTATAAAGAAGTTTCCCGATTCTGTCGAAATGTGCATGCTAGTAACAAAAATAAACTACGAATTCAATCTGGCATGGCCAGATTTTTCAACTTCCGATGATTCTGATGATGGTACAACTTCCAATGGCACCACCACACCTGTTATGCATTATCAACAAAATACAAACGCAACTAAAGATGATCAATTTCAGGAATCAACAATGGTGGATGATGATGATGCAGTTCCTGATGTTGTGTGTACACCTTTTACTCAAATTCTAAACGAAGATACTTTTGACATGCTGTTGGACATCAGGTATTCTTCCCGGTGCTTGAAAACGATCATTACTACCTTACTGTCTTTGATTTCAAAAAATCAGAATGCGTAATAATAGACAACATTTACTCTGAAGAGTCGATTGAAGTAATTTATGGAAATGTGCCTAACGATCTGGTAAGGAAATTTCATTTTAATTTAACTTACCCATGATCATATATTATATTGTAATCACCTATCATATTTATTCCAGAAAATATTGTTTACTCTGTACATCGACGCTTTGAATCATCCAAAAAGAAATTCAATTAAGCGTGCAGTCAAAGTTCGATTGTCCATGGGATGGATGACAAAAATGAACTACATAGATTGTGGAGTATTCATTATGAGGCACATGGAAACATATAAAGGTGAGGATTTGGATAAATGGAATGTTGGTTTGGAGCCTGAGTTCCCAGACAACGATGACCAACAGATGCACTTAAATGAATTGAGAAAAAAGTATGTTACAAAAATTTTGACATCTGATTTAAACCTTATCAAACCATCTCTGCACAAAAAGTTGGCATCATACGATAAGTTATCTGATGTGGAAAAGGAAAACTTCAACACCGAAGAACATCTCCAACGGATTGAGAGCAGAATCAGTTTGTTTTATTAGATTTTCATTAAGCTTTCAAGCATGTTTTATGCTCTATTTTATTTGCCTTTGTTTTTGATGTGACAATGATTCAGTGTTTTGTTATCTGTTTTAAGTGAAAATGATTCAATGTTATGTTATCTGTTTTAAGTGACCAATCTTTCCTTGTTACCGTTTTCATTAATTTATTATGCGTTTTTTATGATTACTGTAATTTCCCCTATCAATATCGTTTATGATATTTTTTATATCAAATTCGAAACGAAGTTACAGTCTTTGATATTTACTGCACTTACCCGTTCAATAACATTTCTGTGATGTATGTATTAATCACATGGATTATTAAAATAAAATTAAACCTTAAGACTCAACTTGATTCCTTTTATTACTTAGGTTGTCATGAATTTCATGTAAGGAATACTTCTTACCACTTTCATCAGTTTCTAATTCATGCCATTAAACTACATATGCCACATAAAGTAATTCTCAAGTTTTTTAAGGCATCACTTATCATATAAGCATTAGAGCTACTATAACATGTGATTTAGACATATTCACTTACTGTCTTAATACATTAAAGCTATTATAGCATGTGAATACATTAACTAAACTTATCATGTAAGAATTAGAGCTAGTATAGCATGTGATTTACACAAATGCACTTACTGTCTCAATACATTAAGTAAACAAAATTAGCTTCATGTCTTACTACTTAGTGTGTTATATGGACAGAATGAAATATTGGATTCATCCAAAAAAGTTGGCTTAATTTATCAACACTCTTACCATTTACAAATATCGCTACCATGTCAGATTGAGTTTACTTATTTTTTGACCAATCCTTTTAAGCAATAATTAATATAGTTAAATCATTTTTTAATTCATGCCATTTAACTAACTTATGCCACATAAACAGATGCTCCATGTAGTTACGACATCACGTATCATCTAAGCATTAACGATACCATAACATGGATTCAGGCATAGATACTAATTTATTAAAAATAACACTTCTCCAACTATCTGCATTTATTCTTGCAAGTACATTGCATGAATGTAGAACTCAAAGATTCATTTTTATTTGTAAAATAACATTTTTTTTCTTGAAAACTTAATAAATAAGAAGGAAAAACCAAACTATTTTAAGCAGAAACATTAGCTTTTTTCTGGCAAGTACGAGCATTATGATCATTTCTTAGTGAATCTTAATTCTATATATATATATATATATATATATATATATATATATATATATATATATATATATATATTATTGTTATTATACAAACCTTATTATTTTTAAAAATAGATTTAAGACGTTCAAAACTTTAAGCTGAATGTACAATAAAGTGATACATATCTTTACCTCTCTCTCACTCATCTGTTTCCCTAATTATCTACTTTCGTTCTATTTGACCTGACTTTTTCTCTCCTTAATCATGATAACCAATTCAAAGCATAAATCAAGGAACTATAGTTACAGTCCCTCTCAATGGTTTCTCTTAAAAATCGAACGCTCCATCCTCCTTCATCTCCTTGATCCGTTAACAACCACCACATCATCTTCTGCCCTAATGATGACACCCAAGATATGTACCTTCATTTCCTCGGATCTCTAGCAATTCGGTTTTCCCCATCACCCCATCATTCTCATTTTGAATTTGAAAGCCAAATATGTTCCTCTTCGTTCTTCGCCAAACCTATCACCCCATCATTCTCATTTTGAATTTGACACCTGATTCACTCTCCCTCTATTTCTCTGCTAAAAACCATCACGACACCTCCTTCGCCAAATCCTAACACAGGTCTATGAAAAAAGTATAAATTTTTTTATTTGGTATTTCTTTCGTGTTCTTACTTTCTTTTTTGATTTTGTGATTTATTATTCTTTATGAATTTGCTTTAGTTGGACTTGCATGTAAGACCGAAAGAAAAAGGGGAAGAAATCGATCAGGTTCTGTAGATCCGTTTTAACGATAACTCATTTTGTGAAGGTTTTGGAGTATTAGAATCAGGTAATAACAATCTCACTTCTTTTTGTTTCAGATTTTTCCCTCATTACCGTCAATATCTCTCCTTTACTTTTCTCTACCCTTAATCCAGCTTTTCCCCATCTCGAACCGTCACCATCGTTAGAGGACCATAGCATCAAAGGCCGCCTTCTTTTACGACACCATTTTCCACCCCTGCTACAACCGCATTACCAACATCGCACATTATAGGTTCATCTCTCTCTCTCTCTCTCTCTCTCTCTCTCTCTCTAAACCACTTTACAACCACGACCACGCAACTTTATTTGAATACCCTAGAAAGTGTTTCAATTGACGGTAAGAGTGCATCATACTCCCATTACAATTGCGTGCTCCTTTTGAGTTATTTATTGTGTGGATTTATATACATATCTCTATGTATATGTGTATGTACATATGTGTCTATTTGCGTTTGTATCTTTGTATCTATCCATCCATGTGTGTATTCGTGTGTACAACACTTAATGTGAAAAACAAGCCCTTAATTTGCATTTTTTTTTCAGATGCTAAAAAAAATGAGAGCTTGGAAGCGAATTAGAGATGGTTGGAAACGGATCCCTTGGTTTGATTGACATCTTTAATGTTAGAAGGGCCTTCTAATACCTTTTCAAGTTTACGCTTTCAGGAAATGCTTGGATCATCACTGTTTATCTCAAAAATCTGTTCTTTTGTGTCACACCCCCAAACCAGAAGGCGAAAACGTCCGGGGGTGGATGACTTCATTTGTAGTATCACAACACATGCATCATAGTAATCAAAGTACAAACAACCATTGCATTAATAAGTATAAGTTTTTACATGTGTTCAAACATTGTATATTGACACCAAAATAGTTATAGCAAAATATAGAAGAGACGACTCAAAAACAGCTCCGTCTTCTCAAAAGCTCGGGGAGTACCTGTCTACTGATTCCCTGAGAATACAAGTAATTTGAAAAAGAGAGTATCAACATAAAGTTGAGTGAGTGCATAAGTATTTATGTTTGAAAGCTTGTTTTCTGTTCTTTGAATATGTAAACTGATCCAAAAAATCCTATATTTTATGATGTAAATGAAATGTAGTTTTAAACCATAAAATCGTTCCGTGTAAGCATTGTTGTACTTGTATACAATAGTATAACATAGTTTTAAATCCTATTAAAACTATAAGATGAATGTTTTCTGTATTGTACGCTCTCTGTTTGTAAACTAGTGTTCTATGTTTGTATTCCTTTGTGAAAACTGGTACTTTGAAATTTGTACTCATGTTTAGTTAATTATACACTAACCGTATTGTTAATATCTTTTTAATGAGTTATTATAACCATACTATGACTAGATGGCCTGAAACAACGCTTTGAAGGCGTCAGAACTGTTGATAACAATTGTCACTCTTAGGCGTGTATGTCCGGCTGTAGCTAGCAGTCTGAGTGTAGGATTGTCAATCCCATATATATCTATACACACTTGTTTCGATCCCTGACTGGAGATTCTGGTTATAATATCAGGACTTTAACTATGTTGTTTAAATAAATAAACAACTTGAACATTGTCTCATAAAAAAACATATAGACGTTACGTGTATAATAGTAATGAAAACCCAATCATCTTGAAATAAATGATTGATAGTATGCTCCTTCTTTAGTATACTTGAAATGTATTTATAAGTTGTATACACTTTTTTAGTTTTGAATCAAATCCTTTTTCTTGTAAAATAGCGTACTCTTGTATACTTGACTAGTGAGTTAGTGTTCTTGAATCATAAATTATACCTATTATAATTTATGTGTACTTTCTGTATTGATACTAACTGTTCATGAATGCAACCCTTTGCTCGACATGTTACAAAAGGGTATTGAAACTGAATGAAATAACTTTTATATTTATATACATATATAAATATATATAACTAAAATTTAACGACAGACGGACAATTAACCGATACCCTAAGTCCACATCCAAACAAGGAAAAGGAAATAAAGCGAGCTATCAGTCCTAAGCCTTTTAAATCTTATTTATATAAATAAATAAATAAATAAATATATATATATATATATATATATATATATATATATATATAGATGATTTTTGAGGAAAATATAAGTTTATAAACTATTTTAAAGAGTTTAACAATTTTGAATGACATTTGATGACTTGATGTCATTTTAACAATAAATTTGAAACCATTTGTTTGTAACACAAAATCCTTGTGTTAGACTTGTATTCCCCCCCCCCCCCCCTAAAAACTGTAAAAACTGTGAAAATACGGGGGTATGAACTCACATTTTTAGAGGGTGATTCGATTGATGATTCGATATAGGACGTTTATTTCCACAAGTGAAATCTCGTAGTAAAACAAGTCCTATATAGCAATTTGTATAGTATATATGCAACCAATTAGTGAATATAATCATATGAATGATTGAAAATTGGACTAATTTGTAAGTATAACTTACAAATAGGAGTGTTAGAAGCTAAGATGGAGACTGCAAGGAGTTCACGGCCAAGAGGGGTGTTCACGGCCCAAGAACACTCGATGTTCTTGAGTTCACGGCCCAATAATCTTGAAGATCTTGCAGATTTGAAGGTGAAACAAGTGTATTCGGTCTAGAATTCCCTAGTATGTTGATGAAATGATGAACACTTGAAGATCCAAGCAACAATCTAAGAAGATTTGAAGGTTTGGAAGATGATACTTGAGAGAGAAATCCTTGGATTCACGGCCAGAAAAGGAAAGAATGAGAAATAATCAACCGATTTTATATATATAGGGAGGAGTTCACGGCCGAGGGGTTCACGGTCCGAAGGCAGTAAACAGTTCACGGCCCGAAGTCAGCAAACAGTTCACGGTCCCTGCGAGGTTTGCGGTCCGAAGAGAAGAAAGAAGGAAAGAGGATGCGAAGTTTCTCAAATTTTCAAGTGTTTTCCTTCTAAATTCTACCACAAATATTCTAAGGTTTTCAACATGTAAAAAGTATTATTCTAACCTTAATAGAAATCCAAACAATAAAGT